AATCCTAAGCATAAAAAATCCTGGGTAAATCCAGGCCAACGTCGACATCGATTTCAAAATGCAATATTCACAGAAGTAAGGTTTTGTTGTGCATTTAGAAGGGACATAAAAGGCGTAACAATCACTGTTGAGCGTTATCAACAACAATTAATCGATTTGAATCGTTCTTTAAATCAAAAACGTCCAATAACAGCTCAAAGAAAACGCAAAGTGATTTTGTTGCACGATAATGCTCGACCACACGTTGCAAAAACAGACACGTTAACAGCATTTCAATGGGAAATCTTACCGCTGCGGCTTACATGCCGCGTATTCATCGGACTGTGCTTCTTTGAATTATTATTTATTTTAATTGATGTAGTACAGCCTTGTTGATCAGCCTTGTTGATCTTCAAAATAAAAATCGAGGAATCTACTTACTGCCAGAAAAGTGGGAAAAAGTTGTAGCTAGCGGTGGAAAATATTTTTAATAAAATATAATTTAACATTTCCCTAAAATAAACGTGTTTCTTTTTGCAAAAAGTCCCTCAAAATTAACTGAAACACCTATATATACTATATATATGTGCGTATGTATATATATGCATATACATATATCATATTTATTTGAATTGCACGCCGAATTTTTTTAAACTTGAAAACAGTCAAAAAAATATGCTTGCCACATAATATAACTAAAATTATAGTCACTTGAATTATTTTTGGTAATTTCAACTAGTTTATAATTATAATAACTATAATTGTAGTCCTTTTAGATTGCCAATTATATACATTTGTTGCTAGAACTATACAATTACTGTTATTATTATTGTAACAGTAATAATCATAATTATAGTAATATATAATTATAATTACAAATACCAAGCACTTTTCTCTCAGTGTAAAAAGCCAACTCTTAGTTAGTCTACTATCCTCATCCGTTCACTTTTTTAAAAACAATAACAATATACGATAACAGAGATACGATAACAGAGATGTTGGTCTTTATTAAGTAAGAACATTTACTATCTAAGTAGAAATCAAATATTTCAGACGATCATATAGTAAAACAAAAACTTTGAGAATAAAAATATTTATTTAGATGTACGATTTTTTAAAATTGTAACTTCTATCATAGATATGTTCGCAACAAAATGTTACAGATTTAGCGGCAGTCGCTGCTGCGTGCTCAGACACGTTTACGCATGTCTCTTGGGTTTTGTTTTTAATGTAGCCTCGATTATTCCACTTACCCCTATATTCAACTGACCCCGGTCTCCTCTATTCTAGAATGATTGTTGAATATAAATAAGATATACAGCAGCCTTATTCTGAAACTCGTAAGTTTCGTTATCGTTATCGTCGTTGTGCAGTTTTTTTTACCATAATATAAAAGCTGCGGTGTTATAACGGTGTTGCAACGGTGTTATAACGATTACGAAACTTGCGTTGAGTGTTATAGAATAGCCCTGCAGGAATAAATTCGCGAAACTCTCTCTTCGCGAAATGTAAGCAGGAAAAGAGATGCTTTGCGGAGTAAATTTTGCGGAAGTTCTCAGACAACCCTAAATACATAATGCTTACCACTTATGACAGCTAAAATATGCTTAGGTATATTCTTAAACTTTCATCAATACGTAATCTGGAAATAGCATTGTAAAATATGTTATACTTAACAACTTAAAATAAATTCTGTCAGTGAAGTATTTGCGGAAAGAACGGTTTTGTTCCAGCATTTAAAAATGTGTAGCGAAATATAAATCTAAAAATAATTTTGTTTAACTTTAGACCAATCAAAATAATTATGTAGGATCCTTAAACTGGTTATTAAAATATTAAAGCTTTGGTAGCATTATTATAAATGTCAATTAAAATTATTTTAAAATCTGTTTCTAAATTCTTAAATACTTCAGCAAAACCGTTTTTGCCGTGATAATATAAATTTTACAAGCATAAAGTTATACATAAAAATATTTTTAATAAATTAAAAAAATAAACTATAAATTATAAGCAATAATATTAATTTTTTAAATATTTTTGTAACAAAAATTTAATATTTATATCTTTGATATAAATTAGATATAATAAATCAATGTATGATATAGTTAAAAAATATATTTATTAATATTTCTTAATATATTTATAAATATCAATATGTTTATTAATATTTAATGATAATATCAATTGTGTGAACATTTCTTATATCGTGTTGGCACGAGAAAGTCTTAGATCGGAGGAAAGTGGCTCTCGCTGTGTGTGTCGAAGATAATACGCTTTTTTAAGTAATGGTCGGAGTTCACACTCCGAGGGAATTACAGGTAGAAAAAAGAAACTAAAAGCTCGAGATACGATGGCGGAAGGACACGAGGGAATGAAGCGATTCCGAAACACGAAATATCCGTTGTCTCATGCTTGTTACCTTCGTTTTATTCTTTTTATCTGTTGCTCCGAATCGATTTCGCGGAGCACAAATTAGGAATGGAACATGAGATTGGACAATTGTAAACCATTAATTAAACATATAGAATGGGATTAAAGATATCTATCGCGCGGACCATCTACTACTTTATCATCTACTATTAGTTGTGTACATTTCCGGCAACATGGAATATTTCTCACATGATAGTACAAGAAATTCTATTCAAATATTTTGCTACCGTAAAGAAAAAGCTTAGCCGCTCGTAAAGTCGCGTAACTTGCAAGTTTAACGCTTTCATGACAGCTCAGGTGATTTTATGTGTTTGCGCTGTTACGAAGCAGAAGCCATTTGCGTGTCTTCATGTATTTTATTTTGCCAAGAGCTAAAAGCAATCGATGTATTCTTTATATGTTTGCTATTTGTATCAATATCCAGAGAAATAAGATACCCCAAACATCTTTATTGATATGATATTTTTTTATTTGTGTATTATTTTAAAATATCATTACATTAAATTCATTGTGAGTATTCAAGCAAACCTATTCCTAGTTTTGAACGTTGTAAAGCCCGTGTCATACTACGTATTGAAGATTAAGGATTGCAAATTGAAAATTAGAAATTCAGAACGAAATGGGTTAAAATTAAAATTATCTTATTGATCGAATTCTAATCTTTAATTCGCAATCTTCAGTCTCCAACGCATAGTAACATAAGTTTAACGGATATCGTGCATAAATGAAATTCAATTGTCGCTAAACCGAGTAAAATTAAGTAGAAATATTGCCGAGTAAAACTATTCGATATACACATTCACAGATTACGGGACTGAATTCGTGCAACTCATGATTCTCTTGATAAAAAATATGTGCGTATAATATTATGTTATTGTGTGTTTATGCCGAATGGAACATTGAGCACCTCGGATGTTCATATCAACGCGTGACGTGTCGCAAGCACAGCAATTCGTACGGTGACACATGGACTGAGAGAGAATTGCCGATGGATTCCGTAGCACGTATAAGAGGTGATTCCGAATAATCTTCAACGTTATTTGCAACGATCCGCGATCGCGGGCGGAAGTTTGTAGTCTTCAAAGCGTTCTCGTATATGTTCGTGTCAGTCAACGGAGTATAAACTTTCTAATCGAATTAGAGGTCGGCGCTCCCTTTACCGTGGCATTTTACTCAGCGATCAAACAGGTTCTTTGATATGCGAATTTGAAGATTCGTAAAGACAAAAGGATTGCAAAGTAATTACAACGAGCGAAGAATAGTTTTCAAGAAAATATTACTAAACTTTTGAAATTATGTTATTAACAAATTTCGCGAATGACTTAACCGAAATTCACAAAAATACAGAATAACGCGAAAATTCACAATTGCAGTTTCTTACTCGAGAAGAATTTAAAATGATCTATAAAATTATGCAAAAGCAATTAATATTTCCGTACGAGTACCATAAATATTCGAAATGCAATACTAAGTGTACAAATAAGTTTCCGCTGTTTTTATCAAAAATTAAGCATTTATTGTGAAAGAATGATACATAATGTTTTATTGATGTAAGTCAAAATGTAAGTGCAAGTTCTTTTTGCGTTTGGCACGAATCTTCATTCAATAATGCTTCCAATTTCGCGTCTTCGTACACTTTCGGCCTTCCGCTACGTTCTTTGTCTTCGACGTCAAATTCACCGTTCTTAAATTTTTGAAACCATTCACGACAACTTCTCTCACTTAAGACAACCTCACCATATGCTTCTACAAGCAATCGATGAGCCTCAGCTGCAGATTTCTTCAAATTAAAGAAGTAAATCAAAAGTTCCCGCAAATGACGCTTATTCGGCTCAAAACTCGGCATTTTCGCACAAAAAAAAATATATGATGCTGATACAAAATCGTTAGTATTTCAAGGTTATGTTGTTGACAGATGTCCAACCTTATAATGTTTTACATCAGACAATTTTAACCATAGCTCGCTAGTGGCGCCATCTTTTGTCAAATGACGGAAACTTATTTGTACACCTAATAAAATTTATAATTATTCAATTATAAGTGGAAATTAGGTCGATAAGTCGAATAAGAGAAAACTATCTATTCACAATCCTCAAATATTGATAAATCTCGGTGCTTGATAATATTCGTGTGTATTTATAATAAATAAATTTTGTTTACGATCATTATAATTTATGGTATTATTTCCAGCTTCATGATTGCTTTTTAAATCCGATAAACCGAACCGGCGCGCAGTTTATAGAACTAAAAAAATATATTTGCAAATTTGCGCATAAATATTATTTAGAACCAAGATTCGCTTCGACTAAAAATAGAATTCTTTCTCTTATTCGATTCATAATTATTCCTTCATAAATACATATATTATGCAGAATTTGACAACGTATTCTATGAGAACTACTGATATAGTGTCTGAAGAGAGCAGAACCGACAAAACGCGCATTACGGAAAACAAATATGTAACAGCAACAGTGTAAATCCGTCTCATGCTTTATGATACTGTCGCGTGGGCGCAGAGGTGAGAGCGAAACAGCCGTAGGATGGATAAATCCAGGGGAATCGGAGAGGCTTTTAAAGAAAAATGTACTCACCGCCATGTCCTCGCTCCTGTAAGCCGTGAGGGTCTGCTCGTCCTGCAGGAGGACGCAGTAACAAGGTTCCCAGCATGCCTCGCTGGCAGCCTCACCAACGCAGCATTCGGCTTCTGCAAAAGAGAAAGATGGTCCCTCATGAATAACCCAGGCAAATAGAAGACGGCACCAACGACACCATTGTGCGTGTCGTCGTCCTATGAGAGAGTAAAGTCACCGGTCAAGAGAGTGACTCGCAAGGATAATAAACCGGGCGCGTCAATTATCCTCCTGAGAAAGTCAAGAGAAATCATCGGTAATGACTGATCGGACGTGTATCCTCCCGCCAGCAGAGGTATCGATTGCTTTTCCATAATTGCATCGCGTTCAATTGCGGTTATGATTTACAGAAATAACATGCGTTGGAAAAGACGTTGGAACAATGTAACTATCTCACGCGTTGCAAATTGAAGAGTGAAAGAACGGTACAATAACCTTCAGACGTTCGCGTGATTCAGAATGGAAGAAAATAATATTGAAGAATAGAGCAATAATTCCAATTTACTTTCCGACGTCTTTATAATTAATAATAATTGCAGTCAAAATATACAGATATAAATTAAAAGTCGAAGGCACTTACGTGAAGAATAAAATTCTTTTCTATTTATTCGGATGTCAAATCAATCTTCTCTTTAACTGTATATCAGTCAGGAATGATCGATGTCTTTACAGGTTGAAACAATTGGCATTCCGCAAAGTTTATCTTAGCAGTATCTATATTTGAGTGATAGTTCCGCTACATCCTGTACTCTGGCTATGATTTATGACGTACGTACATAACTGCCTAAGATTTATGCACAGACGTGTAACAACATTATCCAGAACATTTCTTACGTGATGGAAGCAAGAACGCATTACGGTTGGAAACGACCGATGTAACGAGCGAAACATTTCTCTGATAGCTTAGAAGGAATAGATTCTGCCATTAGAAAATTGTCGTTATCGTTCATTACACACGAGTACGCGATCAATATCTTTATGCGTAGACATTATTTAAGAGACTTTTTGAGTCGCGACTGTTGGTTGTACATTTCATGACAAGCACTAATACGCCTTATTTACGAGGTGCTGCACACGTATGCAGCTTCCTGCACTCCGATAATTTCACAAGAAATGCCTGCGTTTTTCTCATACACCGCGAAAAACATCGACTGCGAATCATGATTGTAATCGGAGTGCAGACAAAGCGTCGGGATATAACGATTTCAGTTCAGTACCGTCTGACGATTGGGATTGTTTTTGCGAGAAATGAAAGAAAGGATGATAAAAAAAAAAAGCACAAAGGGAGAAACTGAAGTACAAAGCGATGAATTTAACAAAGAGTTTTTTAAATTTGATGATGCTACCGAAAATACACTCAAGTTGCAATTAATACATAATTAGAATTTAATATCGGAATAACGTAATACAAAAAACTAAATGTGCGATGTTAATTGTAATAAATATGACGGAAGGAATTCCTGACTGCCAGCTTTTTTATAAAAAGCAGTAACTTGAAAACGTCTTTAAAGACAAAGTTGCCAAGTCATCTCTCCCTACCTACTACAGAAAAACCGCGTGAACGTGATCGATATAAAATTATAAGGCACTCTATGGCGCCTCCATTTCCTTCTTCTTGCACTCCTAATATGCTGGAAAATATAATTTGGAGCAGTCGATTACATCAACCATTATCGAGCACTTGTCCCTACAGCAAGAAATCTTATGTTCAAAGCGTGAGAAAAAAGTTTTAAATGAATGACAAAGAGAATTATTATTTTTCAGAGATTGCGAAAAAAAATTAAAAACATATTTTATACATGTATGTTACATGTAATAAATTAGTCTGATATATATATATTCAGCATATTTGTAATAAAATTATAAGAAAATTCTTCAGATTGTCTTTATAATTTTATATTTGTTTTAAATTACACTTGTACTTAAAACAATTTTGCTTTATTATTCTCTTCTTTCCTTTATTATTTTCATTTTTTTATCATAGCATTTACTTTATTTCTCTCATTTTTATTAATATATAAAGTTGCAAGTTATTTTATATAAATTTTTAACCTCGACTGTATATAAGCTCAACAAAAATTGTTTAAAGAAAAGAATACTTGATTGTCGAATGCAATATCTTCTTACTAATCAGGTTAACAAATATCGATTTGTCAAGTAAAGTAAAATCCTCTTTTCTATGAACAGGTTAACCGCATGATTACAAGAATATGTACAAAACAGCAATATATAAATAAAGGATGCGTAGAAATAACACGCAAGAAACTGATTTATATTTAAAGCAAACCACTAACAGTAGTAAACGCAATGAACAAAGATGAAGAGTAGGAATCTGGTATGACGATGGTCGCCATCCGTGTACAATATAATCGGCATGTGTTTCTTATGAGTAAGATGGTAACACGCTGACAATTTTATGACGATTATTTTATGCCGGCACGCTCTTGCTGGCACATTGCGCTTTGTTTGTGATAATTTTTAATGACATGCCCGCAAGTCATACCGACACATGATTACATACGACTGCCATTTCCTCTGTTCGAATATCAAGTTGTATGCTTCAATTTGTATTACGGCAACCAACGGTATTAGCGGTCTGGCATAAGTATAGATGTCTGTGGCCGAAGAGAAGCCCATGCGGCTGACGAGCAGTGCCGCTGGTGATACCGTTAAATTCTGCGGTACCACCCGTTTAGACAAACGTAGGCGTTAATTGCAATCATAGTTACGTACGCGAAATACATCGTGGAATAATGTTAACAATAATATCAGAAAATTATGAATCCCTATCATAAAGAAGAATCTAACAGACACGAAACTCAGTGATTTTTTTATCGGATAAAGTATTAGGTGTACAAATAAGTTTCCGCCGTTTGACAAAAGACGGCGCCACTAGCGAGCTATGGTTAAAATTGTCTGATGTAAAATATTATATCGTAAGGTTGGACATCTGTCAACGACATAATCTTGAAATATTAGCGATTTTGTATCAGCATCATATATTTTTTTTTGTGCGAAAATGCAGAGTTTTGAGCCGAATAAGCGTCATTTGTGGGAACTTTTGATTTACTTCTTTAATTTGAAGAAATCTGCAACTGAGGCTCATCGATTGCTTGTAGAAGCATATGGTGAGGCTGCCTTAAGTGAGAGAAGTTGTCGTGAATGGTTTCAAAAATTTAAGAACGGTGAATTTGACGTCGAAGACAAAGAACGTAGCGGAAGGTTACGAAGACGCGGAATTGGAAGCATTATTGAATGAAGATTCGTGCCAAAAAGAACTTGCACTTACATTAGGAGCGACTCAACAAGCAATTTCACATCAATAAATGCTTAATTTTGGATAAAAAACGGCGGAAACTTATTTGTACATCTAATACATTTTTTGATAAAAAGAAATAATCAATCTTAATCAATTGAAGATAGTCAATTTTTATTAAATTGTGTATGTGATAGATTTTTTATCTCACTGCGTTTTCAAATAGCAATAGGTTTGAACTTATAATCTAGGATTAATAATATCACATGCTCTACTTTTGTTTCCGATTGATCTTCTATGAGATCATGGTATTTTCGGATTATATATATTTTATATAACTGACCTAGATTAGATACTAATTGCACTCGCAAAAATGTTATTAAATAGCAAAGACCATCGTAAAATTCTAAAGGAGATTATACTTTTCTTTTACTTCCATGGGTATTTTTTCTTCAAGAAAGTTACGCAGTTTACGATTTATCTCCATATCTTGTTATATCGTTAAATATCAATATTTTGTGTTTTGTCAACATTACAATTCATCAGGACAAGTATGAGATTATACGTAAATCGCGTAACTTCCTCCAAAAGAGATTCTTATTTCAAATCCTCTTATACGTATATTATATTTAATATCTTCGATATACAAGTTTTGAGACACAATACTATTTTTTTTTTATATAAAACTTACAACAGCTAGTGATACATAAATCAAGCGCATCCTCTAGTAAATAACTAAATAAGTACCGCACCCTTTCAATGGCATCATCTTACTTTACTACCCCGCGTTTCTGATTTCGAGAATATTAAAAAATATATCGCCGTGCGAAAGCTACCCCTATTCTCGCGGGTACCGTCGCAAAAAGTTCCTAAATGATTAGTCTCGCTTGGCACTAAATTTTTCGTTACTTCCCGCCGCCGCGCTTTTTCCATAATGGACGCCGCGCGCACGAGATATCGCATTACTTTTATATCCAGCGAAATTGTTCACCCTCTGAGCACTCGCGGCACTTTACAGTTCTCGCAAAACTTTCGTATCGTTCGATCTTTTTTTTTTCTTCCCAAGTACACCGTTCACTGGCCACAGCGAAGCTCTTCGTAGTTGGTTTTCTATTACTTCTTTCTCTCTCGTCGAATCTCGAAAGATACAACGTTGAACTAAAGGTTGTAATCAACGAAACAATGTTTGCACTTATACTGGTACTTAACAAGTAATTCCGAAACAGTTCGATATGCATACGATCACGTGTTAAAATAATTCTATTAAAAATTTATTCTAAAATTAATCCGCTTATATTTTACAATAAATCGTTTTTGCTTTCCACAAATTTATCTTTTAATAATTTTAGATTGTTATTGGAGTTCGTTTTTATATTATAGTTTCCGTTAATAGATAGAGATGGCTCACTGAAATGAATTAATTTGTAAAAAAATTTTTTGTAATTACATCATATTGTTTTTCTGAGGATAGCTCGAAAATGAGACGACAAGTACAGTGAAAATAAAAAGTATTTGTACAAGGAAATTTTTTATAAAAAAAGTCTTATTTGTAGAAAATAAACATTAATTAGCAATTTTCTACAATGAATACATTCTGTTTTAATACATACAAATGAGTTTCGCATGTATTTCTGATATTATAAGCTAAATTTCTCGACTGTACGAATACTTTTTGAGCATCCAAACAATAGAATTTTTAATTTCCGCTTATTTTTTAGATGATATATTTTCTACAATTAATACACATCTTTTTGGTATATATAATTTTAAGAAACATACAGCCTATTTTATTCTTTATAAATAAATTGTTAATTATAT